TACTACTACTACTACTACTACTACCACCATGGTCACAACGACCACTCCGCCAACGACTACGACCAGCCTGCAAGTACGCCGCAACAACTCCGTGCCCGCCACTCTAACGCGAACCTGGGATTTGCTGCGGGACCTTCCGGCCTCCGATGTTCGAATGCGGGCGTTGCCGCGCAGCGCCCAGCCTCCCCCCGCGTACCTCTCCCCGTCTTGGCCGCTACCAACACCGCGTCCCACTCGATGCCGGAGGTCCCCCGCACACCCTGCCGCTTGGAAAGAATGAATGGAGATAGTGGAGACGTCACGAGACCTTCGCCCAGATGGACAAAAAAACGAGTACGGTATGGCAAACTACGGGGGGGTAGAGGGGGAGGAGACAGAGAAAAGGAGAGGGGAAGAGTGCGTCGACGGTGGTCGGGAAGAAGGCAAGGGATGAGAGAGGGGAGGGCAAGTCTGCGAGGAGATGGGGAGAATGTGGAAAGGATATGGGCGGGGGGAGAGGGGAGATGGCAGGCGAGGAGGAAGCGAAGTGAAAGGGGAGGGGATAGGGGGGAAGGGAGGATGAGGAAGAGGCGAGGAAACGGGAGACACAGGGAGTGTGGAGAGAGGGGATGGAGGGACAGGATTGGGAAGCGGAGAATAAAGAAGGATAGAGGACACGGGGAAGGGAGGATGAGTAAGGATAGGAAGGCTGGATGGTAAACACAAAAGGTGTCTCTCGCGTTTTCGTCATCCCAGAGGGCCCGCTGACCTCGTCCACCCCGAGGCCAAACCTCGACCTTCTGTGTCGACCAGATGTGTAAATAGAGACCAGACTCCTCACTCAACTCTTCCTCCGCTTTACGCCAACCCCCTTCTAAATCTCCTCCCTCCCTCCTCTTCTTCCCTCACCTCCTCCCCTTCGCTCCTCCCTTTCTCATTCCCTCCTCCCTACTGCACCCTCCGTCTTATTCTCCTCGTCGTCCTCCTCAAGAACATGTAATCTCTTGAATGGTTCAACCTGCCAACACTTCGAGCGGAAGGGCCGCTCGAAAACGCGGCGAACACTGAACGCACCCAAATCGAAACGCAAAAGTGCTCGCGTGTGGAAGCCTGGACTGCCGCGAGACGATCCCGTGGCCTGCCAGGAGCCGGACACATATATTATCCATATGGGCTTCAACATACATTATTGTGCTCACACGGGATCTTGGAGGAAGTGTCGGAGCGCAATACCATGTGGCACCAATGCAGTGGTCTCTTATGGCGCTCGAGCTGTCTTGGGTGACCGCTTCGTCACTGGACGACTGGAAGAGCAAATGCACGGGTCCTCTCGAGTCCGAACGAGCCGCTGGCTAGCACGACGTTCAACGTTATCACCGCTACACACAATGCAGAAAGAAACGCCGTCAAGAGAAGGCCGGGTCTTGTTTCTCCTGTCCGTCCGCCTTCTCCTCCCAAGGTGGCCTCACACAGCGTGTTCTCTATGGCCTTGCGACTGAGAGCCTTATGCATGTGCGAGAAATGGTCGAGGGCCTCCCGCGCGCACGGAAGGGAGGAGGGATGAGGAGGGGGGGAGAGCAAGAGGGGGAAAGGAGGAATTCGGAACGAGTGAGGATGATGGAGGTGGGCGAGGCAGAGGCGTAGGAGGGATGGGACGAGGTTAAGGGGTAGAGGAGAAGAAGGAGGATGACAAGGACGAGATGAAGGAGGAAGGTATGGAAGATGAGGATGGGAGAGGAGCAATCAATACCATCATCCTGTCGTCTCCTTCGCTCGTCCTGCGCGACCTGCCGCTCCAGCCTGGTAAAGGAGGAGGAAGAAGAGAATGAGGAGGAGGAAATGAGAAGTCGGCAAAGACGGAGTCGAATCACTAGATGGTTGTGCTGACTCCCCGCTGTCCGAGATTTCTCAAACGCGCGGCCACTGCTCTTCTCGCACAGGCAAGTGTTGGCCTGGATCGGGGAGTTCACATGACGGAGGAGGATGAGGACCAGTGTAAACCAAAGAGTCATCAACGATGTTGGAGTAAACCTTCCCTCCAAGCTCCCTCTTCATAGGCCCCTACAACGGTATGTATATTTCCATTGAGGGAACTGCATCGTTGGAAGGCACCCGTTTGAAGACCCTGAAGCATGCCAAAACTTTGTTCTCGGGATTCCAACGCCACATATCAACCTGACTGGTGCGTCTTGACTATCCTGAATCGTGCAAGAATGCCACTCCTAGGACTTCAACGCAGAGAATCAATGTAACTGTTGTGCCCGCGTAATCCTTAATCCTTCCAGAATGCCATTTCGGGTACGTTGATGATGGGAATCCGTGCAAGTCTTAAAAATGTTGTAAACGAATGTGCGCGGCGCTGAGGCGAGAACCACATCTTGAAAAAGAACCGCCCTCAATCCGTGAAACCCTCGCAGGATCCTGCGCCCAAGCCCAGGTCAATGCACGCCTGGCGCTGCAGGACCCTGCAAGGCTGACCCCCGTTTGCATTGACCCCCGTCTCAAGGCTGCCGAGCCTCCCCCCGCAGCCACACTCCGGGCAGTCGGGCTCAGTGCTCCAGGCCCCGGGCTCCACTCCCAGACATCCGCTGGCGTGCTTTTTCTGCATTTTCCACGGCCCGAATGGCCCCGACAGCTTCCCCACGGGTAGCGCTTCGCCCCTGATCTACTCCTGCTGGTCCCGGGGCCATGACGGCCCCCGAGGGCCGAAATCAAGGAGGCACCGCCGATTGAAAACATCAGATCCTCGGAGCCAGAAATCTGGCGCTCCGATGCTCTCGATGCGCGGACCCTCGAAGACTGGAGAACTTCCCTATGGGGCCTGTTCTGCAGTCTGACTCGGTCCGGGGGCCCGTTGAGGGCCCCTGGAGGCCGAAAGTAACACAAGAGAAACAAAACTGCCGCTCCAACCGTTTCGCAGCCTCGTATCTCTGGGGATGTCTGGGGATGTCTGGGTTCTCCGTCGTCCCACCCTTCCGCTCGAGCCCCCGCCTCGAACGTCGGCCACCGGCCGCCCGCCACCACGAAGAACGGGAACTGGCGCAGCGCGGAGGCCAAGTGCTGGGACTGCTGGACGGCCTCTGGGCGAGCCGAGGCGGGGCAGGGCAGCAGCTGAACTCGGCCGGGCTGAGCTCGGCCAGGCTGAGCTCGGTCAAGCTGAGCTCGGACAGGCTGATCTCGGCCAGGCTGACTTCGGCTCGGGCCGAGTTCAGCCTGGCTGAGTTCCGCCTGGCCGAGCTCAGCTTGACCGAGCTCAGCCTGGCCGACTGTCGCCTGGCCGCGTCTTCCCCTTGTCGCAGGAGGGTGGCGGCGTGGCCAGCCAAACCGCGCGGCGAGGACGGCGCGACCAGGCGCTCTCGCTCGGGCTGGCTGCGGTTGGTGTCTGAGGCGGAGGATGCAATGGAAGGGATGCGTGCAGAGCTACAGCTGAACTGCATGCGATGGCCGAGCGGTCGCCAAACCTTTGGTGAGCGGAAGGAGAACGACCGAAGAAAAGAGGCCGACGCAACAGACGGGAAAAGGACGAGGAGGACAAGATGGATGTAAGGGGTGCGGTGGACCATGCGAGGTGATGTAGCCTTCCCTCCCATCCCTGATGCCCCTCCTCCCTCCTCCCTCTCTCCTCCCTGGTCGCTCCGCCCTCGTTCCAAGATCGCAGAAGACATAGTGGGAAGGCGTCTCCCTGTGAACCGTTTTAGCACGTTGATATAGTGGTACGCTTGCGTACTGTTCGACGTCTGAGTGTTTCAGGCGTGTTTATAACTACTTCAGTCTTCAAACTTGCATGAATTTCAGAGTTTCTGAGCTCGTTGGTCCACTCAATTTTGTGACTGCTAGGCAGTACGGTCTAGGTCTCCAATGTGCAAGTTCTGTGGTGCAACATGTGCATGCTGCTAGCTAGCTCGACGGAACAATATCTGTATGATGCCGAAAGTGTAATGCAACATGTGAGATGTGTCTTGTCGCGCGACTCAGGAACAATACCATAAGATATGCTGCAAGACAAGAGAATAAGCGGAGCCCTAGGCCCCATGGCCAACAGCCAGAACACGAAATCGCCAAATCCTGGACCCTTTGGCCAAACGTTTGAGATTCGAGGACAGCAATGCAAGTGGGACTCAAGACCCGATGACCAAATACTGGAAGTCCTAAACCACAGAACCAGCAGGACCCTGGACCAACACGACGAATGAAGCTCAAAAGCCCTGTGGCCAACTGCTCGGACACCAAAACCAACATATCAATCTGGACATGGCAACTAACGGCCAGCGGCCAGACAGCGAAGTCAACGAAGGAAGCAGGACCTGGGACCCTGGCCGACGACTGGAAATTCGGAATCAACAACACGAGCGGGGCCAAACACCCTGCCACCAATCGGGACCAACAAGGCAAGTGGGTCGTCATTGGAACGCCTGGTGATCGCATCGGGAGTCCAGGGACAGGCCCAAACATGGTGGCAGCCGCAATACCGCAATACCGGAGGAGGATGGGGGAGGAGCAGGACGAGGAAGATAGCAATACCAGGAGCGGGTGCAGAACGAGGACGGGGGTGAACAAGAGAAGGTCCGGCTACGCCTCTGGGATCTCCCGACAAGGATTTCATTGAAGACGTTAGGGCCACTTTGGCCTTGCGTAGGCAACAAACGCCAAGCAAACTCCCTGATACCGCCTGGCAAGCTCCCAGCGGAGTCGGCAACCAAGCAAGGCGCCGCCAAACAGCCCCAACAATAGAGCGCAAGCGACTTCGACATGCGGTCGCGGATCTGGAGCGAACGCGTTTGCCTTTCAACCGCACTTTGTATTTTGCGACGTGCCCGGTGAACATTATGATAAGCTCCGGCGTCTCCCCTTCATTCTGCCAGACAGACAGAATAAAGCAAACTGCGAAATGTCAATACGATGAGCCAACTGGCTGGCCACGCTCGCCATCTCTGGACCTGAAACGAAATTACGCACACCGAGCCAGGCCGAACCGGACGGTACATTTCATAACGCCGAACCGAGCCGAATTGGGAAATTCGCGATGTCAACCGGAGCGGAGGCGCTTCGGGAACCAACCTAACCGAGCCGAAGCGGAATTTTCCTGAAGTTCCCCTAGCCCCTCCGAGTTGGCGGGTAGAGAAGGATTCGACGCAGTAGGCGCAATGGGAAGGGATGGGTGGGATGGGTAGGATGTCTGATATGGTGCCAGCGCTCCTAGCTTGCCTGCTCTCCCCCCCATCCCTGCCCCTCCTCCTCCTCCCCCCCCTCGCCTCCTCCTCTTCCTCCTCCTCATCTTCTTCCTCCTCCACTCCTTATGCCTCCTCCTCCTCCTCCTCCTCCTCCTCCTCCTCCTCCTCCTCCTCCCCCCCTCCCCCTCCCCCTCCTCCTCCTCCTCCTCCCCTCCTCCTCCTCCTCCTCCTCCGCTCCCTCATCGTCCCCCTCCACTCCCTCCTTTCCTCCTTCCCCCCCTCTTCTCCTCTTCTCCACTCCCTCTTACTCCACTCCTTCTTCCTCCACTCCCTTCTCCCCCTCCCCCTCCTCCTCCTCCTCCTCCTCCTCCTCCTGCTTCTCCTCCTCCTCCTCCTCCTCCTCCTCCTCATCCTCCTCCTCCTCCTCCTCCTCCTCCTCCTCCTCCCCCTCTTTCGCCTCTTCCTCCTCCCTGCCTCCGTACCAAGGCGCCCGCGGCCTCCATTCCCCCGCCCTGGATCATCCTGTACGTGTACAGAACGAGGAAGTAGAGGGACCCCAGCGGGCACTCCTCGGGACGAGAGGAGGAGTGAGGAGAAGGGGCGAGGAGGAGGATGAGGATAAGGAGGAAGGAGGAAGGAGGCGTGAATGGGAGACGGGTGATGGGGGAATGATGGGATCATGATGATGATGCTGATGATGATGACGATGATGATGACAACGACGACTAGGAGGAGAAGAGGAGGATGAGGAGGAGGAGGAGGAGGAGGAGAAGGGGGAAGGAACACGGAGGGGTAGGAGTGCGGAGAAGGAAGGATGCGGAGGATGCGGAGATGGAACACATTGGTGGGGAGAAGGAGGGGAGAAAAGAGATACGGGAACGGAGAAAATATAACGCAAATGCGGACGGATCGGACAGCCACCGGGAGACGCGCGTTGACTCGGGTTCGTCGCGCTGAAGGGGGGGAAGGGGGGGGGGCAAATCCGTCAAAGCGCCCTTAGCATGTTCACTATGTATTTCAATGCATATCCTTCCACGCGTTCCCTGTCCCCCGGTTGAATTATAATACAAACGTTTCTTGAAAACAACTCCAACACTCCAAACGACTTCTGCACTACAACTAATATGGGTGCTCTTCCGACCGACGTGTTGTTGTACGCATCCCGTGTCGACACGTTCCTGACCAGTCTGGCCCTTAGCTGAAACACGGAGGCTCAGCTGAGGCGTGTCCCGATAAGGGCTGATCTTGCACTCTTGTTTCCGTTGCCTCTCTGTCGACTTTCTCTCACTGTGTTGCGACAAACGCGTGTTGTTCCACTACATCGGGTGGCCAGTTCATGATTTACTCAGGGGGCGAGCGGGAGACAGGGAGTGCGAGAGAGACAGAGAGACAGAGAGAGCGAGCGCGCGAGCGGGACTTGGGACTCGATCCCGTCGCCGTGGGCGTCCTCGCGCCCCCCCAAACTCCTCGCAAGTTTTGCGAGCCAGTGCATGCTGCTGCTGCTATTGTGATATCTTACCCTGCGGTGGAGTCGCGCATGGGTGACTCTGCTTTCACGCGGGGGATAGGCACGGGAGATGGAACGAGGGAGAGATTGGAAGAGGAAGGACAGAGGATGAGAGAAGACAAGGGATGTTATGGGAGTGGATGAAAAACGGAGGAAGTGGGGTCAGCGGGAGAGCGTCATTGCTGCATGATCGGGCACGTTGGCGGAAGCTTGAATGTTTTTTGACCGCGTGCTATTCCCCGGCCCGAAACTTGAGGCAATGTTGTGCATGCGAGGGGGTGTGGGGGGGGAGAACGACGAAGCGGAGGATGACGAGGATCTTGAGCACGCTGTCTCGTCTCAGGGGCTCTGGGTAGGGGGTATGGGGGAGGGGACGACGCAGGGGCGGGGAAAGGAGGAACGAGAATCAAAAGAGAAGGGGGACGGCGACGGGCGGAGAGGAGGAATCACCGCTTACCCCGCTTCCTGGAGAACCCGAGACGTTCTGATGACAGAAGAACGGGACGGAGTGCGTTCTGACCAGAATTCCGAGGCGAATCCAGTGGTGGCGACGAGGGCCTCCCATCAAGGAGCAAAGGACACACAAATAAATACCCACAAATACAAGGATTCCCCATATTTTCCCATACTTCCTGGGGTTCTGTCCTCCCCCCCACTTCCCATATTTTCCTATATTTTTGGGGGGATCGACGATTAATTGTGTCTGTGTGTTTTTTTCCTTCCTGATCCCAGGAGGCCCAACAGAGCGAAAGCGAGGCAAGGGCGGCAGGGGGGCTCCGCGCTCATCTCGGCCGTGTGGCCCTGGAAGGCCTCGACGACGGCGTCGAACAGCAGCCACCGCTCCTCCTCCGACGAAGCCCGGACGAGAGTCTCTGAGATCCAGCGCTTCTGGAGCCTGTTTTTCTTTAGATCCAGGCAAGCTTACTTGCATGGCGTTCGCCCCTCTTCAATCGAACACGAGCGTGCAAGTGCCTTTCGACTTGCGTGATTTCCGCACGTCGCATTGTTCTCGGCTTGCGTCAGACTCAGCCCCCCCCCCCGTCCATGCAAGTAAACTTGCCCGAATCCAAAGAAAAACAGGCACCTGGAGGATGCCTCGGGCGCCGCGGCCTTCTCAGAGAGGGCGTTCCGGACCGCTCTGGGCCGGATTTCTCCTCGTCCGGGCCCCGTCTGGCCGTGCTCCGCGCGCACGGCGCGATGGCATCGGGTGTGGGAAGGCCGCCACCACGGAGACGCTCGGCTTGGCCCCTGCGGGAGCGGGCGCGGGCCGTCGGCTTCTCGCGTGCGTCGGCGGGCTCTCGGGAGCCCGCTCTTGGGTGTCTGCGGCCCTTTGGACGTCGGCATACTCCTGCTGGGGCAGCTCTTGTCTTGGCGGCGAGCGTGGGGGGGAGCTGAAAGGAGGAGGCCTTCTCAGGCGGGCGGCGGGGCTTCTCAGAGCCCCTCCGGCCCTCTGAGAGGCGGTCCGATGCCTTCGGGGAAGGCTTGGAACACATCTCAGACGGCCAGAGGACTTCCGAGCCTTCTGAGAAGCCCCCCTCCGTCGGGCGCGCCGCCGATCTTCGTTCGTCCCTCCTCGTCCCTCCTCGTCCCTCACGCCTCCTCCTCCTCCTCCTCCTCCTCCTCCTGCTCCTCCTCCTCCTCCAACTTCTCCTCCTCCTCCTCCTCGTCCTCGTCGTCGTCGTCGTCGTCGTCGTCGTCTGCCAGGGTCTGAGGCGAGCGCTGCCCCCAGGGCGGCCCTGCAGCACGTGCGGGGCGGGGTGCCCGACGGCCTCGCCCAGACAGGGTGCAGCACAACGTGGGCAATCCCTGAGATCCGACGTGGCGAGCGAACGTGCAACATCTAGATGCCTCTTATCTGGGGTCGAAATAGATGGGGTCGGAGGATCGCGCCGCAACGCCGATACATCGGCGATGCACCCGCGATGCATCGTCGACGTCGGCGATGCATCGGCGACGCCGACGTGAAGCAAATCAGGCTGCACATCGAGCCGCATCGGTGATGTATCGGCGATGTGGTGTGATCCTCCGACCCCATCTACTCGGACCCCATCTGGGAGGCCTAGAACATTAGAGGAAGGAGAACCGTCATTACCATCAACTTTTGGAGGTCCGCTCAGGTTTCTTGGATCTGGGCTAGAACCCCCTCCCTGGCGCGGGGAGCGCGCCAGGGGCGGCGCCGGAGGCCCCGCCAGGGGGCCCCAGCGCGGATCCAAGAAATCCGCGCGGAGCGCCAAACGTTTGCGTTTATGGCGCGTCTCTTCTTCGCAACATTCCGAACCCTCACGACCAGAGCCCTGAGCCCAGCCTCTCTGCGGCGTTTTTCGAACTGGGTCGATCTTTGATGGCCCCGGGGCTCGAAGCCGGGCGCCAAACGCCCAGTTTGAAAAAACGGAGGGGCCCAAGTCTCAGAGACCATCATCCAAGGGGTGCGGGGTTATCTCTGCGTGGAGGGTGATCACCGGGCGGCAGGTGCGCACGAGCACACGTCGTAAGCTCACGACCCATAGGTCGTGCGACACAGCCTTTGCCCAGGGGCGGTGTGTGGCACCCGGGAGCGGATCCAGGAGCGTTCCAGGGTGCACAGGGTGCATCCTTTACTGACCACGTCCTGTTCCCCCAGGGAAGAGGAAGGAGGAGGAGGAGGAGCAGCAGGACGAAATTGAGGATGAAGATGCTGATGATGATGAAGAAGAAACGATTGCAATGCAGCGCTGATGCCCCCCACGGGTTGTTCTGCACTTGGGCCCTCCCGCCCTGGTAAGTCGGTGCTGTGACCCCCAATGCTGTGTGGAGCGGTGCATCATCCTTTCCGATTGCACCCAATGGTGGTTGGTATGCGTCCGCCGCTTGTCATGACAGCCGCCTCTGACATTTCAAACTTGGGAGGTCCTGATGGTAACGTGCGTGAGTGTAGCTACTCCAGCCTACTGGAGCATGCGTGTGACATATATCATGTTGTGTGCTATGGTGTGCACAATACATGCTCGCGCGTGTAGTAAACCCAGTATGCAGGCCCGCCGGCCTTGCCGCCAGGGGGTGCCTCATTCAATGAGGCAAACACATAGAACAACTGCGCAAGACCGCTGGCACTGCCACCGGGCGATGTCCTGTCAACAAGCGCCTCGCGTGGGGCAGAAACGCAAGCACAGATACGCCCAGGAATGTAGAAGCTATCGTGCCAGTAACAACACGTCCGATGCCTCAGTGGGCGGGAAGACAGGACCGCCAGCAATGCCGCGGGGCCGCGTCGGCGCGTGAGGCAAAAGCGCAAGCATTAACGATCGACGAGCATGGGGGCCGCGTGGGGCGTCGACGCATGAGGCGCCCAAGTCTAACGCATGAGGGGTCGCAACCCCAAAATGGCCAGCGCCGCCCCTGCATGAGCGGTCAACGTTTGGGGGCCAACAACTCCAGAATGAAGAGCCAAACTCCAAGATGAAACATCAAGTCATTATGGTTGGTCAAAGAGCCGTTATGGTTGGTCAGCATCACAGATGCATCGCGTACAGGGCCACTACCTCCACATTAGGGAACAACGCAGGCGGGGTCGCAGCCCCAGCATAAAGAGAGAACGCATGAGTGGTCAATTCCACAGCATGGGAGTCAAGCGCGGGTGCGTGGAAGTTTCCCCACGGGGGGGTCAATAGGTGAGGGGCCGAAGCACAGAATGAGGGGCGGGATCGAATCATGAGGGGCAAAGCTCAGCATGAGGGGTCAACCCATGATGGGGCAAAATGGTGAGGGTCCAGGCCCGAGCATGAGGGATCAACGCGTGAGTGAAGAAAGGGTCAGAGCCCCAGCATGAGTGCTCTACGCATGAAGGGGCAACAGCGCCAACATGAGGGGTCAGAGGGGCCATCGTCTCCGCAAGCGGGGACAACGCATGAGGGGCCAGCGCCCCGCCATGAGGGGCCAACGCTGTAAGGGCCAAAGCCGCAGCGAAAGGATCAACGTATGGCTGGTCATGATGAAAGTCGATGCAGGAGAGGCCAAAGCCACGCCGTGGGGGGTGAATGCACGGGGGGGGGGGTCGGCATCGCTCGGGCACGAGGGCACAACACATAAGCTAAGAGGGGAAAGCTAAGAGGGGATGCAACCCTAGCGTGACGGGTCAACGCGCCAGCATGAGGGCTCAGATCACGAGCGAGACGGGGAACAACGCCCCACCAACAGGGGTCTACACATGAAGGGCCTGAGCCCCATAATGGGGGGTTCACCGAATACGAGTCTACGGCACGAGGGGACAAAACCACAGCGTGAGGGGTCGAACAATGAGGGGCGGAAGCCCAGCATAAAGGGTCAACGCATGGGGGGCCAACGTTCTAGCCATGGGCTTCGTGCGTGATGGGTCATAGATCCAGAATGACGGATTAATGCATGAGATGCTCACTTTGGGTATTGTTTCACTTCAGGGTGCTATTTTCGCTGGCGGAGTGGCAACATCGTGAGGGGCAAGCCGCCCTTCACCTTATGAGGGGCTTTCTGACTCACATGAGGGATCAACGCTGAGTGTTGTCCAAGCCCCCGCATGCGGGGTCGACGCATGAGCTGAGAGGGGGCCAATACACGGTGTGGGAGGTCAACTTCCGAGGGGGCGCCCATGCATGACGGGTCAACAACCGAGGAGCCAAAGCCCCGGCGTGAGGGGACAACGCATGAGAGAAGAGGGGGCGAAGCCCCACCATGAGGGGCCAGCGCAGGAGGTGTCGAAGCCCCAGCGTGAGGACTCAAAACATGAGCCAGGAGGGGGCAAAGCCCCAGCAGGAGGGGCCGACGGATGAGAGGCCAACGCCCCAGCATGGGCCGTCAACGTATAAAAAATCCAAAGCATGAGGTGGTAGAGCAGATTAAGAGGTCTATAACTCAGGGCGGCAGCCCAGAATGAAGGTTCAACGCATGTGGGGCCAACGAATGGCGAGTCACAGATCCGGAGTCAAGGGTCAGCACATGAGAGGTTAAACCCACATCGTGTGGTGTCAATGCACGAGGGGGCGGCCCCAGCGTGAGGGGCCACCAATTGAGGTGTCAAAGCCCCAGCATGAGGAGACAGCGCGGCAGCGAAGGGGAGCGAAGCCCTAGCAGGACGGGTCAACGCATGAGGGGTCGAAGCCCAGCATGAGGGGTCGCAGTACAAGCCACGAGGGGGCAACGTCAAGAAGGGTACACGGATGAGGGGCTAAAGCCCCAGCATGGGGGGTCACCGTGTGAGAGCGCACGGCACGAGGCTTCACATCATGAGGGGCGGACGCCCGCATGACGGGACAACGCCTGAGGGGCCAAAGCCCCAGCGATGGCGTCGATAGAGGGTGATGCATCAACCCAGAAAGGAGGGCTGACGCATGAGAGGTCGAATCCACGTCGGTGGGGTCAATGCACGAGGGGGAGGCCTCAACATTAGGAGTGAACAAAGGGCACAACCATGCCATGAGTAGAACACGCATCAGCTAAGCAGGGGCGAAGTCTTAGCATGAGAGGACAACGCCTTCGGGGTCGAGGCCCCAGCAGGAGCGGTCAACACATCAGCTAATAAGCAAAGACTTGGCATGTGGGGTGCGACGCACGATGGGTCGAAGCCCGATCATCAGGGGTCAAACCATGAGCTGAGAGGGAGCGAACACTCCAGCATGAGTGGCCCGCGGAGGATGGGTGGAAGCCCAGCATGGGGGTTCAACGTATTGTATTCCACGCATGATGGGACAAAAGCTCCAGCATACGGGGTCAAATTATGAGGGGCGACAGTGCACCATGAGGGGTCAAAGCATGTGGGGCGAACGCCCCAGCGATGGAGTCAACGCGTGGAGGGTCGTAGACCCAGAGTGAAGGGTCAACGCACGAGAAGGCAA